CTGGCAAGCGCGATCGCGCAATCTTCGAACTGTTCATAAATCATGACTCAAGCTTCCTCTGAAATCGTCTGAGTCATTCTTGCAGGTTCGGCGCGCAGAACGCCTCTTTATACTCTCTCGATAATGCGCGCCACAAAAATTCTGTTGGACGGAAAATTACTTGGAGTAAATTCGAACTAATATAATACGAGGAATTTAGTCAAAGTAACGGCGTTTGTTGCGATGTACCGTTGCGTATTTTATGCGATTGTGTTATTGGAGTGCGTCCTTTACCTGATGGCACACAGATCTCATCCTCGTTTCAGGATTGCAATTTGCAATTTCAGCGCGGTGCGCTTTATCATCGAATAACGAAATGAAATTACGCCGTAAATTCCACAACGTTGGAATTCATTATTTGATTAATCGTTACAAAGCTTTCTTTGATCGTTTCGAGTAACGATATAGCGCATGCGCTGCTGCGACCGCGGTGGAAACGATTTATCTGCGAGATCTGCAATCGTCCTCGTTTGTGGAGTTTGGATGCTTCGTTCCAGGAAAAATAAGAACACCACACACACACACACACACACACACACACACACACACACACACACGCACGGGCAAGTGAGTTGGACGTTTTCGACGCTTTCTAGCGTCGTTTAGAATTTGGGAGCTCGTAAAGATTGTGCGCGCGTCTCTCCACACTTATTGTTAGAGTTCCGAAGAGGAATGGACGCGTGATTTGGTGATTCGAAAAAGAACGGAGGGCAATCGGGGAATCACTTAACATATTATCGATGCCCGAAGGTTAATCGTGTGTTAAGCGTTTCCCATCCCGCTAATCGCCCGTGCGAAAAGCGTGGGTGATAAACGAGCGCGGCGAGGAAAAGTTATGGGCATAATTGCACGATGGGAACTCTTCGCGGTCACGTGTGCGCCACTTTATTTATGAGATGCGGAAGAATGAGTGCGTGTGAGGCTCGCGTATCATCACTGTGAAATATTCCAGCGATGGCAAAATGCAACGCTAAAACCGAAAGCAAAATGATTAAGCGCGATATCGTATAACACGTATATAAATGTTGAGGTTCCATTTAACTTTATATTTCCCGATATCCATGCAAGCTGAATATTGCATTGTAACTTGATAAATTGTGTTATATCTGAGTCTAGTCGTTAATACAAATACGCAGAAGTTGAAATAAACGAATAAATAATAAATGCATGTGTGTTTGTGAAATCGCAAACTTGCCGATTAAAATGTAATGAATTTATGTTCAATTTAATTAGCTTATTATAATAGCATTATACAAATTTAATTCGTCAAATTATTTTATTTAAATGCCAAATTAAATCAGCAGAATGCAAATGAAATGCATTTATGTCGATTTACGTGATACTGCTGGAAAGAAAAGAATTGCGCCTTTTCGCGAAACGGCGTGGCGAATATTACAAGAGAAATAGTGATGCAATGAGAGAGATGCGTAATGGCGTACACAAAGGAAATTTCTTTAGCTGATTTATCGACGAGTCAAGGATTATTACATAATACAACATGCAACTCTAAGTATTCGTCGAGCTTTTAAGGATTCTTGAATATGCGGCCTTTTATAAGACCCGGAGTTGCAGTGAAATTAATGAAATTAAATAAAATATCGTAAACTTTCCTCAGAAAACTAATTATCGTCTATTCTATTCTGATCACTACGCATTCTAAAGCCGTAATTATATCTTAACAAAGATAAAGAAGAAAATTCATTCAATTGGAGATATAAATTAAAGAACGCGCGAAGTCAATTATCTCTGTTCTCCGATGAAAATAGTTTCCTCAATAAAACCGTTTTCATATTGAAATCGCGCTGCAATTTCAATGGAAGATTCTTATATATCTGTGAAACGCTGCATTAAATCCCCGTGAATTTATCCGACAAATCGAATCCCTATTAACGAAGGAAAATCAAATTGATTTCATCTCGCACTTCGAGAGCGGCTAGTAAACAGCCTTTATCAGAGTTTGCAGAATAGCGTGCAATGTCTCGCGCATTTCAATGAGCGACATTTTGAGATATAGATTCGTTCTTGCAGCACGGAGGTATTCAAATTAACCGCACTCGCGAACTGCAATTATTTATAATTAACGCCGACGCATAGTTATCGTACGTGCTTTTGTATAAATATGTCGGATTGCCACTGCGCGGTTTTCGGATTTGACCAATTAACGACTAATGCACCACAAAATCAATATATCCTTGCCTATATCGAATGTTGTCATAAATTATAGTTTTTTATTAACCAGTTTTTAAATCTGCTGCGCAGGTAACAGTTAAAGATATTATAACACCTTTAAATATTAATAAGATATATTGTGTTTTCTCATTACAACACTAATATATCCAGAAATAGAAATTCTGATGTTTGATCAAATTATCGCGAAAGATTGCGAACAGATGAAACTCGATAATTTCGCGATGTTTGCGAATCCGTCACTTTTTCAACGAATTAAGATCTCAGGAATTTGTCGGTAGAGTCCGCATAAGTTCCTGAAATTTACACAGAGCGGAGAAAGTTCTATTATTCTTCTTTCTTTGTTTACGCGCGACTTCAAGACATGTAATAAATCTTCGAAATAATCGTTCGAAAATAATCAGAAGAATCATTATGATGTAACGAGTAGATGGTTAAATTAGTAACACCTTTCTAATGCTAATGTTTTAATATGTAATCAGATATTAACTCGTAACACATTTCTCATCTTGTATTACGTTGTCGCTGTACTTTAACACACATCAATGATCTCTGATACGAATCGCTCTCACGTCGTAATTCGAATAAATCGTGTTTTACATATTCATGTAATGACGCAATTAACAGAGCTCCACTCGCGACACAAATGGAACAATTTAAATTATTGGCGCGGATGGGCGAATAAGAAAAAAGAGCCAATTAATCGAAAATGCGACAAATCGCTAAACGACAAACAGGACTACACATCGTTCTATTTCTCCAACAATTACATTTAATTTATCCAACGGTAAATAATTCAATAACACAGTAACAACAACAAACTGTTTGTCCCGCTGTTGTTTCCGCTCGACTAATTCGCGAACATTTTCGACTTCTGCGCGAATGGGATGTTATAAACGACGTCTGTCGCGTATTATTATCCGGTGAGTCGCGGTTGCTAACAATAAGAGGTCAACATTTGAGAAATCATGTCCATAATAGTCCATATACTTTGAGAGAATTTCCTTTGGTGGATATATGTATATATATATATATATATATATATATATATATATATATATATATATATATATATATACGGTGCCGTTTAGTTTACGGTCAATCGCCTCAAGCGACTGCGCCTTATTTTTAACCCTTTAAAGCAACATCAACGGAACCGACGCGTAGCCGTTCTTACGTGAAAATCGGGGCAACGAGAGATGGTGCAGCGCTCAGCCGCTCGACATCATAGTTTTGATCGACGCAGATGAAACGTGCGCTCGATTAAAGATGAGAATTACGATCGCGATAGCACTCGCGGTAAACTGGATCAGTCAATTAAGCGATACGAACAGTTATAACTATCCAATGTTACAAAGTGTTGCAACTGCCTTCGAGATGCAAAGTAATCCACGAATATATGGAGTGGTGTTGATCGAGCTAAGATCAATCTCGTCTAACTTTGGATAATAAGGTACGAACTTTACAAAGAGGTGCAATATCGATATAATCGTGGATTCTGTACTCTTTAGGAAAGTTTATTAATTAAGTAGAGAATAAATTTAGCATCATCTCCTTTCTGATGATTGATATCTTTTCCTAGAAAGGTTGCGTGAATGATTGATTACTTTCGAGCGACTCCCATTTTGAGATATTATATGTCATTGCGTTCTGAATAATGTGTGTGTGTGTGTGTGTGTGTGTGTACTTACGTATATCGTAGAATTATGTATAGTTAAATCAATAATATCTATAATATCGTTAATACGTTTCAGTATGTTTAATATTTTCATTCATCAATAATTCTCTTTTTGTAATATTTGTAATAATCTTCTTTCGTTCGGACGAAGAGAATTTTCGCTTCAAAACTCGATACTCCCGTAAGCGGTATTATTACAACGGGCGCAGAGTGTTCACTGCTGTTATTATAAAATATGAAACTCGCCGATACATGATCGGCGTATTTTTACAACAGTGAAACGTTTATATTTGATATTTTTAATTTTTGTAGTCCACAAGCGCTCCGAGTTCACATGGCAAATATATCATATTTGATCATAACAGAACTGACACATACACACACGGCGCGCAGCGCTGCCTTTGACATAATTTCTCATTTAATTTAAAAGAAGATATACAGAAAATTTGCGTGCATCAGGAAGGATTTAAAAAAAAAGCAGAACTTTGATTATTTTCTTACTGGGTGATAAATGTGTCCACCGACTTTCTTATTCATTATCTCCATTCAGTTATTGTTCGTTGAATTAAAAGGAAAGCGAGTGCTTGAAAGGATTAAACTTTCAGGAGAATATTATCATCGTCCATTTTGTGTGAATCTAACAGATGTCAGAAATGCATAGTATAAAAGAAGACAAAAGACGCGAGAGCATCGTTAAAGTATGAAATGATATTCTCGCAATTAATGATTAAATTTCCGCGTCAGAAAGAATAGCTGTCGTGCTGACCAATTATGACAAATTGTTAAAGGCGATTTGCGCATCGCGAGAGCACGAGTGGAACTCGCGAGTCGAAGTTTCGGAGGGCGGGCAACCCCTCCCAAACGGCACCGTGTCCAAAGTCGTTCAAGACGTCTTGAAGACATTATTAAAATGTCATATTACAAAGATGTCTTAAAGATGTTTTAAAAACATTTTTTAAAACTGTAAGACTTTTTTTTAAGACAAATGTTTTTAAAGATGTCTTTAAGATGTCTTATGTCTGGAGTACGACGTGCTTCGTAAATCCGACGTAGTTTGTTATCCTCGCAAGCATCTCTGGTGGTATATTTCACTTACTACGAGCAGATCCGAACGTCGTCCTGTCGCTGAAGACGGAAGCAACGGCTCCGCATTATCGTCTCTCCGTGAGCGCCTCTACCTTTCCCCGTCCCTCCGGCTCCGTATCTCCCTCGCGCACCTCCACGACGTGACTTCGACTCGGCGGGTCGCGGTTTAGCCCACGCGGTACTCCGTAGTCCGTATCCTCGGTCCCTCCACGGCACGTCCGCTTCTCCAGCCCCCTTTCCTTTATCCCCCTCGCCCGACCGCGCGCAAATCCGCACTCTACACCCGCGGGGCACAACACATGGTACCCATGACGACGCGTTCTCTTTTCGCACTTGCTTTAATATGTATATACGCCAACTCCGCGCTCATCCGCGCCGATCGACCGAGTCGAGTCAGCCGGGCGGTGTTACAACTTGTGAGACACGCGCTCCGCTTTTGCTCCGATTTGGCGCCAAGTGAGCGCGAACGACGGAAGAAGAAGAAGAAGAAGAAGAAGAAAGAAAACGTCACCCTTCCACGACGACGCTCGGCGCGTAACTGACCGTCCGCGGCGTCCGCGCGGAGAGCCGAGGTGCAGGTGGCGACGTACGCTTTAATGCCTTTGAGCCGAGCGGCGCCGCGCGCATGCGCCGTCGCTGGTAAAAGGCGAAAACGCGATCGGCGTTCTCCAAGCGTGGCGCCGACGAACCGAACCGAACCGATCGCGACCACCGGCGATCGAGGGATTTGGTCGGCAAATGATGCGCTCGTCCTCCAATGGCGAGTGGTATTTAACCCGTTCGTCGCGCAGCCTGTGCGCGAATAGCGTTATGCTTAATTCCGGCTTCCATCGCGCGAATGATATACAACATGATACGGAAAACGTCCGATAGAACGCGACGTTTAAGACGCCACGTCGCTTTTTTGAAATATGTCTTTGCCTACTCGTCGTCACCGACACTTGCGAGAGTAATGAATCGACAGTGATTAATATCCATGAAAGGTGTATGAATATTCAAAAACGTTTCAGATAAAGTTTTATGCGCGAGCGAAGGAGCTCCAGTTTATGGCAATTTTATTAATGCGTAAATCTATTTGAGTCTTTTGAAACATAGCTTTATACATATATCTGTACCTTAGAGGTAAAAAAATCGTATCTCCACACAGAGAGAATTTTCTCTTAGAATTTACCCTGAAAATCATGGTAGTTGTGGGACAACATAAACGAAGAGTTCTATGCAAGCTGATTAATATCTATAACCATGCATAATAAAAATATTAATATCTATTACAATAAAATATAAAATATGTGTTTGATTAATTTTACTAAAATATATAATAAAATTTCAATAATTTTTCAAAAACTACCAATGTACTTGGTAATTTGTATTACGTTGTTTGTATAAAATATATTTTGTATATTTCAAAAATTCCTATTGTTACCGATAATATTTGATTGCCAAGTTGTCTCACATTTGCAGTGAATTTAACGGTAAAATATAACGAAAAATTCTCTCCGTGTATAGACGCAGTGCTCGTACAAAAGCACTAACGTTTGTTTGCTGAACGAGGGCAAGAGGCAGGAATAAAAACGTAATATTTTTCGTAAGAAACCTTCAAACAAGCTTGAAACAACCGAACAGTATTATAGCTTTTCCTGAAATTTTTATTTACACGCTTGCAATCTCTTTTTATTACAAGTTTGTAAATGATGGTGACAGGTAAACATTGCGGTCGGGAGCCATGGTTCTTTCATGACTTACCGCGGAGACGTGAAGACGACAAGATCGATGCGGAGGGAAGATGTTATTGGTTGTACACGTATTACGTATTCGCGCATACCAATCTGCAGTGTGTGGCGAAGCGGAATGGAACTCTGGTATAGTAAAAGGCGGAAATCCACGCCAGGATGATAATGCCGCGAATATACCGCGCAATACCTATTGTTCGTTGGCAGATTTTCCTGAATAACTGCCTTTAAATGTGCCAACGATTACGACCGATTACATTTGAGTACGAAGATAACAAAAGATTTCCGTACCAAACAGAATTTTCAAATAATTTACGCTTTTAAACATAGCAATAATATTATCACTATTTAATCATAATTTTTCTTGGTCATATTAAGTAACCAAAAAACGCATTAAAAAAATGGAAACAGTCCTCATCAGTATGTATTATCAAGAATAACATATTTCATCTACGTATAATATTTTCAATTAAAATACTGCCACAGAATATAGTCGATGCTGCGCAAATAGTGTTTCGTAGCTCGCATATTTTTTCTATTGATTGATTCTCTCTTTCGAGAACGCAAGAATTGACACAAGAATCGTTGCTACCCATAATTTCAAAGAGGCATGACGAAACGGAGGCTCATATATTACACAGTATTTTTCCGCAGGCGCAGATGGTAATTATCTGCGAGTAGTAGATATACATATACACGTGCAGATACCGCGAAAAAAATACAAAAGCTGTCGGCGTGACGTGCACCGTTATGCTTGTCCCCTCATTACGAACTTCGCCTTCGAAAATTGGCACGTATGTCTCCGGAAACCGCGAGCGGGACGGCAATGACCGTTCTTATGGCTGTTTCGCGTGCACAAAAGTCATGAATTACATTAAACTTGCCCATTAAATAAATTACTTTAATAAAAAATTTTTCGTTTCGTATATCGGGAACATGGTTATTAAATATGAGCGAACTACAAAACGACAACGGAAAAACGTCAGTGTGCTCTGAATTTTCCGGACAAATTGACGCAACTTGGCAGAAACGAAAAGAGTGAATAATGTCATAAAATGATCAATTTAATTAATGTGTAATTCAGATGATTAATTTATTGACCAGCTAATGACGTAATTAAAATTTTTATTTTATTAAGCGCGCACGGAGAAAATTGCTACGGTTGTTACAACAACATACTCTATGATTGAAAAAGAAATTTATATGAATTCAAGTTATATTGATATATATATAGATTACATTAAAAATGTAGCTGTTAATATGTGCTCATTTATACGGTTCTCATAATCGTAGTTCTTACTATAAGTAACATTCGGTTACAATACTCTCATATAGGTACCTCAACCAAAGGATTATTATTGGTACTCTTTCTAAAGTGATCTGCAGTATAAATAGTATAGTTGATAGATCTATAAGATATAGTTGCACGGTATAGCACTGATTGTGAGAGTTCAGTTCAATCGCAAAATCACTTCCAGAATACTATGGTTTTCATAACCCTTTTGTATTAATGAGCGAAAAATAACATTATTATTCTGTTGTAGCAAACCTAACTTTTTCTCCGTGCGACATTCGGAAGATAGAAATCTACAAATTTATAAAGAGAGAGAGTTTTTCTGAATTTCTCTCTGCCACCGAATCGTTGCTCAGTTTGTTTTTGATTTTCCACGGAATTCCACACATTTCACGCGACGGCGATATGCAAGGCCATTGTTGATTTTTATTTTTTGCGTAAATCACATATCGCTGATGTTCATGTGTGACGGTAAGAGAATGTGTACTTTCCCTCCGCGCGTCTGTTATGTACACATTCTTTATCGTACGTGTGCGCGATAAAACGTGAAAATCCGCCGCATATTGGCAACAATGCATGACTTCCCGGTTAAGAAGAGTTGCAAATCCGAAAAATCACGTTTGTCTGCCTGAGACGTTCTCAACTATGGTGATGGTTGTGGGTGCTGTTTTATTTTTTCATATCGCGCTTCAATCTATTAATAAAATATAGTCTTTGATATTTATTGTATGACATCTTTTTAACGTTACGCAAAAATTCTTTATAATTTACTTAATAAATTTGTTACTATTGCTCTTATTATTATTATTGTTACAATTTTAAGTACATGTATATACATTTGTTGTATTATTTTATTTAGTATTACGGAAATTAGATTGTTATTGCGTTTTAAATTATTATTGCTATTATTTTTACTACTATTAAAATATAATAATAAATTAAATTAATATGTTACACTACACTGAGAAAAAAAGCTGTTGCTTCAATTAAAGTGCTATCACGGGGTGCCAAAAACATAAGTAGTTTATTCAATTGTATTATTATTAGACCTAATATCTGGATTATTAAACCAATAATTTAATTTAATTATTGGTTTAATCCGGTTTAATCCGGATATTGGGTCTAATATAATACAATTGAATAAACTACTTATGTTTTTGGCACCCCGTGATAGCACTTTAATTGAAGCAACTGCTTTTCTTCTCAATGTACTAATGTGATCACAATAATCTATTCTTTCTTCCAGTAGTCTTTCTAATTCTAATATTTAAGCAACATTAAACATTATATTTATTGCTCATCATAAGTTACTATTGAGAAGCCTGACACCGACGCAAAAATTTACAAACGACCTTTGACCTTTAAATATCATTCTTATTACACTACTAAAACTTTCCTCTTACAGTTATTACGCGTCGGCGAAAAGTTTAATGGTTCTTTTTCCCATGAAATTCAATTTTGCGACTACATTTCTCGTTATACTCGTTACACAAGATGCTCCAAAAGTCCAAAACCATCAAATATCCTGTTAACTATACATTAGGGACTCGTGAGAGTTGAAACATCGTCCAGAGAAAAACGTTAAAGTATTTACGTATATGTTAAAGACAGTGACAGTGCTTGTTACTTCACGTTTCGTTGTTGTATTTAACTAAGGTTACGTGAGCTCTATTTGCCAACTTTCTATGAACTAAACCGACAGCTGTAATGCAAGCGGCGTCGGTGAGCATGAAAAATGTAACTTGACCGATTACAGTCTCAGTTACATTTTTGTATAGTTTTATTTAAAGATTGCTGCAATCATAAGGCAACAGAGCAAAATAAGAGTTTCGTTTGATCTCTCTTTTCTAAAGTAAGTCCAAAAAAATAACTGAATAGCTCGAATTAGTAGCCGCTAATTTACATGGTAAAAAGTAAAAACAGAAGACTAATTCGTTCGCTTGTTGATTCGTAAGTAGATACGCAAATTCAACTTATACAATATACATCACGCGAAATGAATCGTGAAGCGAATAGTTTGACGTTTGACGAGCATCGACGAGCGAATTGTCAGTTCATTATGCAATCTCGCTACTTGATTTATGTAGGCACAACCGATAACTCATGTGAGTCAGTGTTTATACGCCGCAGGTGTTCATTTAAGGGATTTTTCAAATTAATCAAGTGGACAATGACAGATGTCTGTTCATTACATAATGTAAATTATATCTTTTATGTCACTTTTTATAATTACTTCCTTTCAACTCGACAAAAGAGACTGTAGTTTTCAACATTTAAAAGATTTACAAAATAAGATTCTTTGATGTAAAACAGATACTTTTTTACTTCTTTAATTTATACTTTCTTGAAACAGAATTCAACAAAAGAGAGTATGGTTTTCTTATACAACAAGGTTCTTTGGTAAAACAGATATTTCTCTTATAACGCGCAAATACAAGATTTATAAGCGCGTAGGTATCAAGACTTTCTCTAAACATTTTGATAGTGCAAAATGTATAACAGCGCGATTTCGCGGATCAACAGAATGTTCTTGGATTTTTTTGAGATCTTTTGAGTATCGTAGTAAAGACTTTTGTAAAGCACCAATTGTGTCGATCCTTCTTACGCCTATAATGTTTCGCGAATAAACTTTGGATCTTCATTCGCGCGGGTATATCCTCCATAAAACTTGCAAATCCAATTTCCCGGGATTACAACTCGGGTTAGGGAATTCACAT